TATATAAATGTTGAATAAAATATCATTCGTATTTACCTTTAACGAGATTTCTCTTATATAATAGTTCTTCTTTTATGTGTATTTTGCTTTTTTCTCATTGTAATTTCGATTTTGTGAGTTGTTTGCCCTCTCTATTTCAAAAACTTAAAAAAAACTTTATTTTTAAAAATATAAAATAAACAAACAAATAAATCAGCACGCACTTATTTACCTTTCAATCTCTCCTGCATCTACACACATTGATGTGCTTATTTTCTCAAGATTTGAATGTAGAAACTTTGTATATCTTCCCCGATAATGTAATGCCATGTTTTTTTTAAAGTAGCTTTCCAATAACATATTCATTTTCATAGGACAGCTATTACGTTTATAATCTGGCCAAGTATCTGTCATGATGTTAACATAAATTTTATTTTTTATTTTATTTTATTTTTTTATTTTATTTTATTTATTTTTTTACTTGCCAACCCAATCGCTGAACTAGTGTGTTCGAAAATAAGATGTAACAGTTTCTGCAATAACTAAGTTTGTAATTCTGATAGCAGACTGAAACTCTTTTGCATCCAAGATAGTAATTTTCCATTGATCAAATTCTTCCTGGTCCCTAGAATGCTTAACAAACTGAAATTGATAGAATGTTCGATCTCTAATCCATTGGTCATTTAGGTTTTTTGTAAACTATTTCTTGAGTGCATCAGCTAGAAAAATAGCAATATTCTAGAAATGTGAAAACTAAAATACAATAACATATAACGCTGCCTATAATATCCAGTGTGTCACAATTTTTACATATTGAAAAATTAAAAATCATGTGTATTTGATATCACATGATAGTATAAATATATGAGTGCGTGCTGCCAAGAGAAAATCTTGATCCAGAAATAATAGTTTATTATTTTTAGATCAATTATTTATCATGCAGGGTAGTGGGCAGTGCTATTTGACAAGTATAATTTAAGAAAACTCACCCTCATACCAGTCACACAAAACTATCTGCGTATTAGGAAAATGTTTTCTAGCTGCTATCAAATAAGGGTCTCATTTGTCCATTGCTAACCATTTAGGGTTTAGTTGAACATCATTCTTAATACCATATTGAATTAGCTAACCAGTTGATGCTAGAAATTATCATAAAACAAAATAACAAAATTTAACCAAATTTAACTAAAAACTTACTGATCAAACATCAGGTTAACAACTGGTATCATTTCTTTGTTACTTACAAATGTTGCTACAATTTGACCACGAGGTTCATCTGATCTAATCATAAAAGCCATGTTTGGAAAGTTCAAGCTGTTACGACAACCAGTAAAGTCCAAAGCTAGAAAATCTGGATACTTTGTTAGCAGTGTTGGCATAATTGTAGATGCTATACCAAGAAGCACTGCCTGTTCTTGGGGTCTTGAGCATCTTTAACACCATATTGCTTCAATATAACAGTGCCTTCAGACTCATAGGTATCCATTATAGAACAGACCTGTTGGCGATTAGAATTAAACAGAGAAAAATAACTTTTACACAGGTCGAATCAGGTACAAATCGGATATCTAATTATAGGCTGATTACTACCTGATTATTATCTGATTGATGTCAATTTATATTGCAACATAAATCGACATCAACCAGATAATAATCGGGTAGTAATCAGCTTAAAATCAGATATCTGATTTTACCTGATTTGCCATCATTCGACCTGTACTCACAAAAGCAGTTTCTTATTTTTTCATATTCTAATACACTTGGATAATGCAATTTCTTATCATATTTGAGGGCATTCTGAATTGTTTTAAGGTTAGAAACAAATCGGTTAGATATTGGTTATACTTGGTTTTTTGGTGTAGTGTCAGTTATACTTAAAATCTTTGCACTATTCATTAGTTCTAAAAAAAAAAAAAAAAAGACTAATTAACAAATTAGATTCAACCTTTTTTTTATTTTTTTTAAATAGAAGTTTCTTCTATAACCTGTTGCCAATAGCAAAGGAGTTATACTTGCAGTTCGATTTGTTATTGTTTTTCTAACTGAAGTTGCTATTCAAAGTGGTTTTGTCTAAAGATGTTCTGGATTATGATTTCTATGATATTCAATATTGCATAAATTAAGTGGTTTGTTCTGAAGAACTACAATACGACCTTTCTAGTTGCATTTGCCTTTGCAGCACCCATTCTTCAAAAAACGTAATTAATATTTCACAATTTTCATAAAAGTAAATACATCAAAATAAACACATTTTTATTTTATATAC